AAATCGTGTGCATCTATCTAATATTTTTAATGGTCTAAATTAGATTAAGTGTGTGCGAACGCGCATTAAATGTGTGCAAACGCGATCAAATGTGTTTGCACACATTTAATGCGCGTTCGCACACACTTAGGGTCCGTTTGGAAACCTGAAAAATGACTTATGGAAAATGAGTCATTTTCCAGACAACGTTTTCCTTTCCGGTGTTTGGCTGCGCAACAGAAAACTCTCTTTGTGTGTTTGGTTCATTTTCTAGAAAATGACCAGGAAAATAAATAGAATTTCATACTTCAACATTTTAATTGTTTGATACTTTTGATAAAATTCTTTTATAAATAGCACTAAGCCTCGATGATAATTTTGAATATCTATATATATACGTATAGCATCTGGCTTTCAAAAAAAAAACGTATAGCATCTACTATATATATATATATATATATATATATATATATATATATATATATATATATATATATATATATATATATATATATTAGACTATGGTATTATTATTATATTATCTTGTGTATATTATGTAACATAGAATAATGTCCTAGTCTTTAGCTTATTAGTTAACTCTCTCTCCTGAGAGTATTATTGTATTCCCCATTCTGCTACTGAATGAATCATCGCTTCCACTCTCATCTGGTATCAGTTAGCCAGTCACAATCCTCCCATCCCTTCTCTCTCTCCCTTCCCGTCGACAATGTCGAATAGTTCCGATCGCAACCTCACCGCCACCACCATCTCCCCCCCAAACACCGGTTACAACACCCTTACGAGTGCACACCACTTTGTGTCACTCAAACTCACACATCGCAACTATTTGTATTGGCGAACGCAGGTCATCCCTTTCCTACGAGGCCAAGGACTGCTCGGCTTCGTCGATGGCTCGCGTCCATGTCCGTCGCCGCTCCTGGAGCTTCCCGCCGGTGAGAATGCGGACGACGCCTCCTCCTCCACAGTAAACCTGGCGTATGGCGTGTGGGTGCAGCAAGACGCCTCTATCCTCTCACTACTAATTTCCTACCTCTCGGAGGAGGTCATGTATCTTGCTCTCGGACAGACAACCGCGCGTGGCGTGTGGATGGCGGCAGAGACGGCTCTCGGCTTGTCGACGCAAGTCCGATGTCTCAATCTGCTGGGGCAGATTCAGACGCTTCGTCAAGGTGACAGCTCCACCGCGGAATACTTAGGCCGTGCGCAACACCTGGTCGAGGACCTCGCGCTCGCCGGAAGGAGCTTGACGCCAACGGAACAGAATCTCTACATTTTCTGGGGGTTGTGGCCGGAGTTCCAGGCCATGGCTTCCTCCCTGGCTATCACCGGCACACCGGTGTCATACCCCAACTGGCCGACTACCTCCAGGCGCAGCAGCTCATCCACGCTGACGATTTCCCGACCTACCAACCGGCGACGGCGAGCAGTGTCCCCTCGGCGTTGTACGCGGGTCGAGGCAGACGCCAACGCGGAGACGGTGGCCGGTAGTCTCCTGGTGAAGGAGGACGAGGCGGCAATCAGCGCGGCGGCCGGGGTGGACGTGGACGGAACGGCGGATTGCGCTGCTAGATATGCGGTTCTCAGGGTCACTCTGCCGCTTTTTGTTACCGTAGTTACTCGGAGCCGCCGCCGTCGCAGGCTCACGTGGCCGTCGCGGGTGATGGATCGCCACAGACGCCGTCGACGGTCACATCGTGGCTACCGGACACTGGTGCGTCCACACATGCTACTCTGGACTCCGTGTGTAATCACGCATTCCGAGGACTACCACGGCGATGACGTCCTACGAGTGGGTAATGGCACAAGTTTGGCGATCTCGCGTGTGAGTCATGCAGTAATTCCTTCGGTCAATAAGTCTTTAAAAATGTCCAATGTTTTACATGTTCCTGAGTTATCAGTGTCATTACTCTCTGTTAATAGATTCACTCGGGATAATAATTGTTATTTTGAATTTCACCCCACCTTTTTTGTTGTGAAGGACTGCAACACTCAGGCGATACTTCTTAAAGGTCCAAGCTCGGAGGGTCTTTATTCGCTGTCAATTCCTAATAATCACTATGCGTTCGTCTCGGCGCATGCCTCTTCCATGGTCTGGCATAAGCGTCTCGGTCACCCACATGGTCAAGCCCTCCACCGTGTCTTACGGGATTGCCGGGTTGCGTCCAATAATATTGTAATTCCTAAATTATGTTCCCCGTGTCAACTTGGAAAATCGGCACGTTTTCCTTTAGATAGGGTTTCTACGTCAAGTCATAATATACTCGATCTTATTTTTACTGATATATGGGGCCCCACACCAGTTATTTTGGCGGATGGATCCCGGTATTTTGTACTCTTCATGAACGATAATACCCGCTTCTGTTGGTATTACCCTCTATGATTAAAAACGGACATATATTGTTGGACAATTTTAATATAATGTCCTCGCAAGTGCACGCATCACTGAAGTAATATGGTGCAATAGCAAGGGTCGAACCCAAGAGGAATTGATAATATGAAATTTATAATCTTAAAGTTAATTAACTCGATAATTTAACGTGCTAGAAACAAAAATCAATCGTACGAATCAATTCAAGTGCAAAACAATTAAAATCAATGCTTCAAGAGCTAAGAGTTGGAAAAATGCAGTATTAAAAGCAGTACTCACAATTTGGAATTTGGCAAAGTAATGCGAAGAGAGACTATGAATTAAAGAGAAGGAAAAACTAAACAATTAAATAATAAATCAAGATAAAGCAGTTATTGTTGGATCATGGCTTTTTCATTATATTCTTAGAACAAAGAAATTGACAGTCCTTTATAATCAAGAAAGAAATGATAACTGGCATCAATGGTTCAATGTTTCACCAAAACAACATTACCAACTAAGCATAATTAACAGTATATTGATAAATGCAATTAGCATAAAACATTAAGTATTGCAACACAGTTTAAAGTTTTCGGAATTGAAAGAATTCTAATCACAACAAATTAATAGATAGAGAAAATGAAAAAGGAACCAAGGATTAAGTTGCTTACAATTCAGAAATTTAGGAAGAGAAAAACAAGGCACATTAAAGAATTAAGTTTTAAAGAGAAAAGAACCAGATTGCTCGAAAAAGTCTTTCGCCAGAATTTTGCTGTCGGATTAATGCTTCCAAGATCGCCAATGGATAGCACCGCCGGAATTCACGAGCCACCGGATCAGATTATTGGCCGGAGTTTCCGAAGTTAATTTCCGCCCGGATGGACGTATTTGAAGCAAGTTTTTGGTGAAAGGTGATGAATTTCGGTGATGAAAATGATGATCCCCTCTCTTCGATTTTGCCCCCCTTTTATACTGTTCCGGACCTTCGATTCTTTCACGAGATTTCGCTCCAAGTTGTGGTCCGAGCTTCCGCAGAATGCTTTGAATCGAGAACTGCCATTGAAGCTTCCGAACAATCGGACGTTCACAAGACCGGAGCCTCTACCGTTTGTGTTTTCCGCGTCGTTCGTTCTCGGTATTCCGTCTTTCGCGGTATTGTTGTGGTGTTCGCGTCCTGAGTCTGGAGTGCTGCTATTCACAACTTTTATTTGGGGATGGAAACAAACGTAACGTATAACATAATAATAATAATAATAATAATAATAATAATAATAATAATAATAATAATAATAATAATAATAATAATAATAATAATAATAAAACACAAACTTTAATTTAACAATGCTTATTAAAATAAGAGAAAATACAAAATTAAGTAAATATTTTCTTACTAATTCTAACAAAGTTTATTAAAAATAATAACATAAATATTGTTCATCAAATCTCCCCACACTTATTTATTTGTTTGTCCTCAAACAAAGACATTATTAGAAAGAAAAGAAAAGATTAAAGAAAAAGAAATCAAGTATTACACTGAGCTTTACCCAAATAGCCTTTCAAATTTATTTGCCTCATCAATGCAAAATCAGTGTCAACTCAAAGAATGTACAAAACATTTGACTAGAACTTAAAACTTTAGCAACTAAAATAAATATAAAACTTGTGCTTGTGTGCTGACACCCCTTATAGGAGACATACAAAAACTCAATAGAATAAATATGACAATTTCACAAAATACAACCTAAACCAAATTCAAAAACATTCTATCATAGTGCAAATGTAAAATATGAAGGAAACTAGGATCAAGGCATTTATTGAAATTAAAGAAAAAAAAAACAATTGCTTGTCTCTTCCCGAGTTCACTCGTTTTTTTTTTTTTTTTTTTTTTTTGACTTTTTTCAAAAAGAACTTTCCCAAAAACCTCGCCATTTTACGCCAGACTTGTTTGAGTTTTCAATTTTTTTGTGTACTCATAAACCAGACCACAACACTTATTGATTTATTTATTATACATGTGTAGGTGGCTGATTCAGCGGAGTAGAATCACAGAGATTAAAGTAAATAAAATAAAATAAAATAAATAAATAAATAAAACACTCTCATTTATTTTTAAATATATTTTTTAAATCTCTCTTTTTTTTCCTCACTTATGCCATAAAGATGATCCTTGAACCAACACACTACACCACAATTTATAGCACTCAAGAATTGTTTAAGAATTTGAAAAAGGTAATATAAAGTAAAATCAACATATAAACTATTAAAGAAAATGTATAAAACACAGCAGGGTATTTGTGATTCAAAATTTTTTTTATTTGATTTTGTTTTCACAAAGTAATTAACAACTAGCCACATGCAATATACATACTAAGAGTTTGACAAATACATGCATTATTTTCATCATAGGCTATTCAAAAGGCTCATTGGGTACTAATTTATTTTTAAAAGTAATTTTTTTCAACAGAATGATAACTATTCTAATTGTTTTTTTTTTTAAAGTAAAATAGTTTTGACAAATAGTAAAATAGTTCCCTCCCCACACTTATTTCAAACATTGTCCGCAATATGGAGAACAACACTTATAAGAGGAACACAAACAACACGAAAAGAAAGGAGACAGGGAAAGAGAATTGGGTTGCCTCCCAATAGCGCTTCAGTTATTGTCAGTAGCTAGACATGGGCATTCAGAGTCGTGCAACTCTACCCGTTCAACAATCTGGGTTGAGGGGTCACCCTCAAGGTACTGCTTTAGTCTTTGCCCATTTACCTTAAATTTTTCACCTGTTTTTGGATTTTCAATCTCACAGGCACCATGAGAAAACACCTCCCGTACCACAAAAGGCCCTGTCCATCTAGATTTTAACTTATCTGGGAACAATCTTAAACGAGAATTAAATAACAAAACTTTCATCCCAGGTTCAAAATTTTTCCTCAAAATAAACTTATCATGATAAACTTTAGTTCTCTCTTTATAGATTTTTGAGTTTTCATAGGCTTCATTCCTTATTTCATCTAATTCATTCAAATGCAATATTCTTATTCCACCAGCTCTCTGCAAATCAAAATTTAGGAATTTAATAGCCCAATAGGCTTTGTGTTCTAACTCTACTGGTAAATGACAAGCCTTGCCAAATACTAACCTGTACGGACTCATACCAATCGGGGTTTTGTAGGCTGTTCTGTAAGCCCACAGCGCATCATTCAGCTTGATGGCCCAATCCTTCTGGGAAGGATTCACTGTTTTTTCCAAAATTCCCTTGATTTGTCTGTTACTCACCTCGACTTGGCCAGAGGTTTGTGGATGGTACGGAGTAGCCACTTTATGCGTAATGCCATATTTTTTTAGAAGACCTGCAAAAAGTTTATTACAGAAGTGGGTGCCTTCATCGCTAATAATAGCTTTGGGTGTCCCAAACCTGGCAAAAATATCTTTTAAGAATTTCAAAACAACCTTACTGTCATTTGTCCGTGTGGCTACAGCTTCAACCCATTTTGACACATAATCAACAGCCACAAGAATGTAATTAAAACCAAAGGATGTAGGAAAAGGCCCAATGAAATCAATTCCCCAAACATCAAAGAGATCAACAACCAAAATATTCGAAAGGGGCATTTCATGACGCTTACTTATATTACCAGTCCTCTAGCACCTATCACACTTAGCACAAAATTCAAATGCATCCTTGAACAAAGTAGGCCAATAAAAACCAGATTGCAAAACTTTTAATGCAGTTTTCTTCCCACTAAAATTTCCTCCGCAATTTAAAGTGTGACTGTGATTCAAAATATTTTGCTGTTCAAACTCAGGGATACATCTTCTAATTATTTGATCAGGACAAATTTTAAACAAGTAAGGTTCATCCCAAAAGAAATGTTTTGCTTTGGAGAGAAAATGTTGTTTTCTTTGTGAATTTAAGCCTGGGTGAAATTGACCCGAGACTAAATAATTCACAATATCTGCATACCAAGGCTCTTTATTATGTAAGGAGAGCAACTGTTCACCCGGAAACCTGTCATTGATAGGAATATTAAAATCATGACAATTATTAGCTACTTCGGGTAAACGAGACAAATGGTCAGCTACCACATTCTCGCACCCTTTTTTATCCTTGATTGTTAAATCAAATTCTTGCAACAACAAAATCCATCTTATTAGTCTAGGTTTTGCATCTTTTTTAGCCAACAAAAATTTCAGAGCAGAATGATCAGAATAAACAATCACCTTAGAACCGATTAAGTAAGAACGAAATTTTTCTAATGCAAAGACTATAGCCAACAACTCCTTTTCAGTAGTTGTATAGTTAGCCTGAGCACTATCCAAAGTTCTACTTGCATAATGAATCACATAAGGCATTTTATTAATTCTCTGTCCTAACACAGCACCTACAGCATAATTAGATGCATCACACATTATTTCAAAAGGAAACTCCCAATTAGGTGCCGCAAGAATGGGAGCCGCAGTTAATTTTTCTTTCAAAAACTTAAAAGCGGAAAGGCAATCATCATCAAATTTGAAAACAACATCTTTTCCCAGCAAGTTGCATAAAGGCCTGCAAATTTTTGAAAAATCTTTTATGAATCGCCTGTAAAAACCTGCATGACCAAGAAAACTGCGTACTTCTTTCACAGATGTGGGGGGCGGTAATTTAGAAATAACTTCAATTTTAGCTTTATCAACCTCTACGCCCCTGTCAGAAATTATATGCCCCAGAACAATGCCCTCTTTAACCATGAAATTACTTTTTTCCCAACTCAGGGTTAAGTTCATTTTAACACATCTTTCAAGCACAGAAGCTAAATGAGCAAGGCAATCATCAAAAGAATCACCAAACAGAGAAAAATCATCCATAAATACTTCAACATATCTTTCAATCATATCAGAAAATATGGACATCATACACCTTTGAAAAGTCGCAGGTGCATTACATAACCCAAATGACATTCTGCGATAAGCAAAAGTGCCAAAAGGACATGTAAATGTCGTTTTTTCTTGATCTTCAGGTGTAATAGGAATTTGAAAATAACCTTGAAAGCCATCAAGGAAACAATAATAAGCATGTCCAGCTAATCTTTCTAACATTTGGTCAATAAAGGGTAAAGGAAAATGATCTTTTTTAGTGGCGACATTTAATTTTCTATAATCTATGCACATTCGCCACCCCGTTACTATTCTAGTTGGGATTAATTCATTTTTGTCATTAGTAACCACAGTGATCCCAGATTTTTTTGGCACTACATGAACTGGACTTACCCACTTACTATCAGAAATTGGGTAAATAATACCTGAGTCAAGCAACTTTAGGACTTCTGCACGTACAACCTCCTTCATATTTGGATTTAACCTACGTTGAGGTTGGCGGACAGGAGTTGCCCCTTCATCAAGTAGGATCCGGTGCATACAAACCGTTGGACTTATTCCTTTAATATCGTCTACTGTTCAACCAATTGCACTTTTATATTTTTTTAATACCACTAGTAGGCTTGTTTCTTGCTCATGTGAAAGGTTAGAAGCAATTATTACAGGATAAGTATTATTTGGACCTAAAAAAAAAACATATTTTAAAGAATTAGGAAGGGGTTTTAGTTCAAGCTTGGGTGGAACTTCAGCTTCAATTGAAGGATGGAGTTTTTCCTTAATTTGCTTCAAACAGCCTGTAACTGAACCTCCTTCACCACTCCCCTCTTTTATTGTGCTTTGGCTGGATTCCACTTCATCAGCCTCAATCTCTTCGACCTTCAACAGATATTCATCTAACAACTCAGCAGAAATTATTGAATCTAAAACATCTACAGCAAAACAATGACTATTATCGTTTCCAGGAAATCTCATTGATTTCAGAATGGAAAACTCAACAGTTTCGTCAAGCACAGTCATAGTTAATTTTCCATTCTGGACATCAATCATTGTTTTTGCTATAGCCATGAAAGGTCGGCCCAGCAAAATAGGCATGTCCTGCTCATGATTACACTTTTTATTTATGTCTAACACAACAAAATCAGCAGGAATTATTAATTTATCAACTTGGACCAAAACATCTTCTACAATGCCCCTAGGATATCTAACAGAGCGATCAGCAAGCTCGAAGGACATTGTAGTAGATTTCAATTTATCTAGACCTAATTGCAAGTAGACAGAATATGGCATCAAGTTATTGCTGGCCCCTAAATCAAGCATTGCCTTTTCTTTCTTAGAATTCCCCACAGTAATAGTTATTATGAAACTACCGGGATCTTCTAATTTTGGGGGCAAGTCAGTTTGTAAAACAGCACTCACAGTTTTAGACATGAAAACTTTTTCATTATGTGCATACCTACGCTTTCTGGTGTTTAGTTCTTTCAAAAACTTAGCATAAGCAGTCATATTTTTAATCATGTCTAACAAAGGCAAATTCACGTTCACTTTTGACAACAAATCATAAATTTCAGCAAATGATTTATCAAATTTTGAATTTTGCAATCTACCAGGAAATGGAACTGGGGGAACATAAGACTTAGGGGGCACATAAGGATTATCAGATTTATGCAGTTGGGGTTCATCCTTATTATTATCATCAACATGCAACTTTTCAACTATTTCAACTGGTTTAGAAGTGGTATTTGCTTTCACACTTTTTTCAATAACTTTACCACTTCTTAAAACAGTCAAAACTTTAGCTTCTTCAGGTTGACTAGGTAACTTACCTGGCACATGGCCTTGCATAGCTTCTGCGAGTTGCCCCACTTGAACTTCCAATTTTCTTAGGGAAACCTCATTTCTTGCAAGTGAAGCCTCATTTTGTTGGAACCGTTTCTCATCTGCCTCCGACCGTTTATTGCAAACCTGTATATAATTTTGCAATGTATCCTCTAAAGATGGTTTTTTTTGGTTGAGGTGGAGCAATATGTTGAAAATTAGTTTGATTATTACCCCAAGAAAAGTTAGGGTGATTCCTCCAACCCGGATTATAAGAGTTAGAATACGGGTCGTTTCTAGGCCTTTGATTAAAATTGTTCATCGCATTGGCCTGTTCAAAACTATCATTTTCTCCAATCATATATGCAGTATTTTGTTTCGTAGCCAGCATAGAACACAAGTTATATTCATTTTTTCATCCATCGCAGACATTTGAATCTTCAAATCAGTAACTAAATTAACTTCATACATACCTGATGTCTGTCCCCTTACGCTTTTTTGTTGGGAGTTCGCTCCTAGCATTTCATACAATGCTAAGGTCTCCTCCGCAGTTTTTTCTCCCATGGAACCTCCAGCCGCATTATCAACAATTGATTGGCTGGTTTGGGTCAAACCATCATAAAAAGTTTGATTTTGCAGCTCCAATGGGTAGCCATGGTGGGGGCATTGAATGAGCAACATTTTGAACATTTCCCATGCCTCATGGAACGGTTCGCCTTCAGCTTGCGAGAAATTCGTAATTTTTCTCCGTAATTCAGAAGTTTTAGCATGAGAATAAAACTTACCTATGAACTTATTGTAAACCTCCGGCCATGTCCGAAGGGATCCAGGTGTGAGAGACATGAACCATTGTTTTGCTGCATCTTTCAAAGTGTACGGGAAACACCTCTTCCTTAGTTTATCTTCTGGCAGGTCATTCAATGGAAAGTTTTGGACTACCGCGTAAAAATCCCGGACGAAGGTAAGGGCATCCTTGGTTGCTCAACGATGAAAAGATGACAACTGATTGTAATGGATCGTTTTCAACTCATAATTCCTGGCTGCATTGGTAAGCACTATACAAGAAGGTGAAGTTCCTACTTGGGGCTTACCAAAGTTTTTCATCAACCTAGGAACGGGCCTAGGGTTGGGAACGAGGTTAGGGTTGGGGTTGGGTGGAGGAAGTTCAGCCATGGTTGTGGTTGTTTCTTGTGGTTCTAAAGGTAAACTATTTTTCTTTTTTCTATTGATGTGGTCGTCTAAAGGCAATAGTTCAGGGGTTAAAGAGCGGCGACCATGCATGAAATAAATAGATAAATGAATGAACAAATAAAATAGCAAAAATAAATATATTAATAAATTGACTAAATGAAATAAGCCAGCAAATAAAGAAACAAGACAATCAAGATAAGTAAAGCAAAAAGCAAATTAGAAATAGATGTTATAAGTAGTATTGAGCAAAGGAAAATAAATAAAATAAACAAAATGCACAATAAGAAAGACGAGGAAGAATATAGAAAATAAATTGAAAAATAAACAATTCCCCGGCAACGGCGCCAAAAATTGTTGGACAATTTTAATATAATGTCCTCGCAAGTGCACGAATCACTGAAGTAATATGGTGCAATAGCAAGGGTCGAACCCAAGAGGAATTGATAATATGAAATTTATAATCTTAAAGTTAATTAACTCGATAATTTAACGTGCTAGAAACAAAAATCAATCGTACGAATCAATTCAAGTGCAAAACAATTAAAATCAATGCTTCAAGAGCTAAGAGTTGGAAAAATGCAGTATTAAAAGCAGTACTCACAATTTGGAATTTGGCAAAGTAATGCGAAGAGAGACTATGAATTAAAGAGAAGGAAAAACTAAACAATTAAATAATAAATCAAGATAAAGCAGTTATTGTTGGATCATGGCTTTTTCATTATATTCTTAGAACAAAGAAATTGAAAGTCCTTTATAATCAAGAAAGAAATGATAACTGGCATCAATGGTTCAATGTTTCACCAAAACAACATTACCAACTAAGCATAATTAACAGTATATTGATAAATGCAATTAGCATAAAACATTAAGTATTGCAACACAGTTTAAAGTTTTCGGAATTGAAAGAATTCTAATCACAACAAATTAAGAGATAGAGAAAATGAAAAAGGAACCAAGGATTAAGCTGCTTACAATTCAGAAATTTAGGAAGAGAAAAACAAGGCACATTAAAGAATTAAGTTTTAAAGAGAAAAGAACCAGATTGCTCGAAAAAGTCTTTCGCCAGAATTTTGCTGTCGGATTAATGCTTCCAAGATCGCCAATGGATAGCACCGCCGGAATTCACGAGCCACCGGATCAGATTATTGCCCGGAGTTTCCGAATTTAATTTCCGCCCGAACGGACGTATTTGAAGCAAGTTTTTGGTGAAAGGTGATGAATTTCGGTGATGAAAATGATGATCCCCTCTCTTCGATTTTGCCCCCCTTTTATACTGTTCCGGACCTTCGATTCTTTCACGAGATTTCGCTCCAAGTTGTGGTCCGAGCTTCCGCAGAATGCTTTGAATCAAGAACTGCCATTGAAGCTTCCGAACAATCAGACGTTCACAAGACCGGAGCCTCTACCGTTTGTGTTGTCCGCGTCGTTCGTTCTCGGTGTTTCGTCTTTCGCGGTATTGTTGTGGTGTTCGCGTCTTGAGTCTGGAGTGCTGCTATTCACGACTTTTATTTGGCGAATAATAATAATAATAATAATAATAATGATGATGATGATGATGATGATGATGATGATGATGATGATGATGATGATGATAATAGACCGGAGCCTCTACCGTTTGTGTTGTCCGCGTCGTTCGTTCTCGGTGTTCCGTCTTTCGCGGTATTGTTGTGGTGTTCGCGTCTTGAGTCTGGAGTGCTGCTATTCACGACTTTTATTTGGCGAATAATAATAGTAATAATAATGATGATGATGATGATGATGATGATGATGATGATGATGATGATGATGATGATGATGATGATGATGATGATAAAACACAAACTTTAATTTAACAATGCTTATTAAAATAAGAGAAAATACAAAATTAAGTAAATATTTTCTTACTAATTCTAACAAAGTTTATTAAAAATAATAACATAAATATTATTCATCATATATAAAATATTCGATCTTTTTCGGGCGACGGTAGAACGTACGTTTTCGCATTCTATCAAGTCTATTCAGTCCGATTTGGGAGGGGAATACCAGAAATTACATAAACTATTTTCCACATTAGGGATCGTGCACCGACAGTCATGTGCCTACACACACGAGCAAAATGGCCGTGTGGAACGCCGGAATCGGCATATTGTCGAAACTGGATTGGCATTAATGGCCCAAGCGTTTGTCCCGCAACGCTATTGGGACCACGTTTTTGAGACAACCACTTATCTCATAAATCGTCTTCCGTCAGCCTCACTCCAGTTTGACACTCCATTTTATCGCCTATATAAGACGCCGCCTACATACACGTACCTACGTGTGTTCAGGTGTCTCTGTTTTTCTTACCTACGCCCATATAACCGTCATAAAATCGAGTATCGGTCAAGCCCGTGTGTCTTCTTAGGTTACCCACCATCCTTTAGGGGTTACCGCTGCATGTGCCTAAACACCGGGAAAACCTATGTCTGTCGCCATGTCCGCTTTGATGAATCTAACTTCCCCTTTGAAACAGGCAATTTTAAGCAGAATGTAGCACAATCGGATGTGCCCGCACCATCATGGGGCTCTAGTCCCGTGCTCTAGAATAGCAGTTGTATAATTCCCGCGGCACCTTCTCCTATCATTCCTCGTGCACCAACTCGTGCCGGGCTCATGTCATGCGGCTGCGGCGTATGACACAAGGCACCGGGGAGCAGTTTCACGTTCTCACTGCTTCTACTGCTGACCCTACCTGTTACTCACAGGCAGTTGGGCATCCGCAATGGCGGGACACTATGGACCAAGAGTTTAATGCCTTACTGCATAATAATACTTGGCAGCTGGTTCCTGCTACACCGAACATGAATGTCGTGGGGTGTAAATGGGCTTTTCGCACTAAGCGCAAAGCCGACGGTACAGTCGAGCGCTATAAGGCCAGGTTAGTGGCCAAGGGCTTCAACCAGGGCAAATTATTGTGTGGACCATGGTCCATACGATGTTATGTGGACCATGACAAAAAGTACATTATTTTTGTACTGAATATACATTATTTTTATATTGAATGTACATTATACAATATAATGTACACTTAGTACAAAAATAATGTACATTTCCTGAATATAATGTACATTATTTTTGTGTTGAATGTACATTATTTTTGTACTGAAGGTACATTATTTTATAGTATACAAAATATGGTACACACAATTTGTATGGACCATGGTCCACACAATAATGATTGCTTCAACCAGGTCGCTGGTGAGGACTTCTTCGAGACGTTCAGTCCGGTGGTCAAGTCGACCACAGTCCAGATATTGATATCTTTTGTCGTATCACGCGGGTGGACACTCCGGCAGCTGGATGTCCACAATGCCTTCCTGAACGGCCATCTATTATAGACTGTCTACATGAGGCAACCTCCGGGATATGAAGATCCCGATCATCCTGATCATGTCTGCCACTTGCAGCGTTCGTTGTATGGGCTGAAACAGGCGCCTCGGGCCTAGTTCAACCGTTTGCATGATTTTTTATTTGTAACAGGATTTGTCGCTTCCAAAACAGATGTGTCCCTGTTCCACTACTTAGCTGGGGATTCACGAGTTTTCTTACTCGTCTACGTGGACGACATTATCATGCTAGGCGACGACACTGCCTTGATTGATTCTCTACTTCACTCTGACTATCAGCGGCGTTCAAAATTCGGGATCTTGGCAAACCCTCCTTCTTCCTTGGCATATAGACTCTTGTCGTCCCGAAAGGCATGATTCTCACACAACGGCGTTACATGCGTGACATTTTGCAGCGAGCAGGCATGACCGACTGTAAACCTTTAGCTACACCGGCCGCTGTCACTCAACCAGTGAGTTAGTCCACCAATCCGTTTCACAACCCCACGCACTATCGGCGTCTAGCTGGGGCTCTGTAGTACCTCACCATCACTCATCTGGATCTGTCCTATGCTGTCAACCGACTTTGCCAGTTTATGCACACTCCTACAGAGGAGAACTAGGGGCTACTTAAGCGTGTTCTCCGCTACATAAAAGGGACTCTAGACTACGGCCTCCGCATCTCTCCATCCAGGTCATCTGACATCCATGCTTACTCAGATTCTGACTGGGTCAACCGGAAGTCCACCAGTGGCTATGCCATGTTCTTGGGGTCCAACCTTGTCTCGTAGGTCTCTAGGAAGCAACGAACAGTGGCACGCTCGTCGACAGAAGCCAAATACAAAGGCCTTGCAGATGTGTGCACGGAGGTCACCTGGGTAGTATCTCTGTTACGGGAGTTGCGCTTGAGTGCTTCTACACCACCCACACTATGGTGTGACAACCTTGGTGCCATGTACCTATGTGGTAACCCACGTCACTATGGTGTGACAACCTTGGTGCCATGTACCTATGTGGTAACCCACGTAGAAGTTGACTATCACTTTGTACGGGATAAAGTCTCCTCCGGTGGGTTTCAGGTAGGGTTGGGCATTTAACCGAACCGAACCGGTTCAGTTCGGCCTCAAACCGAAGAACCGATCGGTCCTTGGTTTGAGGAAACCGATCGGTTCGGTTTGGTTCGGGTTAAATCCGAACTGAAAAACCGGTCGGTTTTCTGCTTTTTTTTTTTTCTTTTTAATAATAATAGATATATATTGTATTAATTAAATGTTAAAGGTGAGATTTGAACCCTTACTCATTTGGTTATAAACTTAGAGCTTTATAAACTTAAAGCTTTACCCACTAAGCTACAGCCACATTCATGTTTATATTCACATTTGTATGCTAATAAAGGTATACATTTTTCATTAAATGTTGCACACTTCAAATATAATTAGTAAAATTGTCCGTACTACATTCTTGTTAAACTAAAATATCATTATACTGTTATTACACCGTTGTTATTTAATTCTAAAAGTTTCATAATTCTATCATTATTATCATACATACATATATATATATATATATATATATATATATATATATAAATTAACTATGATATCTTTTTCCTATTCTTTAATTATCATTTTATTA